GGTTTAGAAATTATAAAGTTTATGGGTTCGAAATTCCGCGGTTTTGAAAGTTTAGCGGTTCGAAAGTTTATGAAATTTGTGGGTTCGGAAGGTTGTTGGTTTAAAAGTTTATGGCTTCATGTTTATTATATCTAAATTATTTATGAATACTCTTAAGAAGTCCTTTTCCTTAATTTGTGTACCAAACATCGGAAAATGAATAAAATTACTACTTGTTTTTCAAAAAAATATTTTCCACGAAAAACATTTTCTGTTATACCAAACACACCCTAAATCAAGGCAAACTCGTAGTGACTGAAAATCTAACTCATAGCCGAAGAAAACCCGCAATACGCCCCGCCCGGCCCTGTTGCATTAGTTCTTTTAAGAAACTATTTCAACATGCCACGCTTCGCCCCTGCACTCGTGTAAGGTCAAACTTGCCCTGCCTTACAGAAGGTCAAAGCCGCCCCACCCCGCACCCGGATCGCCCCGTTACATGTTCTTCTTTTCATCTGGAAGATAATCAAGGATTTTAAGTTAAAATTCTAGAGCATAACTATGGTCAATACTCTTTGCAACAATGGGTTCGGATTTAGACTAATATATATGTTGACTTTTGGTTTTAATGATTAATAAATAATATAACTATATTGGATTGATTGCATTATGTTGAAGGACCTAGTTCTGCTTGTATAGGTTCTTTCAACATGTCTAGCGGCCATCCAAATAACACTATTAGTTTCTTAGGTTATAAAGTTTGTAACCTGAAATTGCATATTTGTTTTAGTGAAGTTTTTTTTGGAGAAATCCTAGAAGGATAGTTCGTAATTTTTGCTATCTCAAGCAAGTCGATTTTTCACGAAAAGATATCATATCTTATTTTATTACAGGAGTTGTTTGAACCCGTACAAAGAACCTGTCCTTTATACTTAAATTCACCTAGTGTTACTTAACTGGTCAAAATTTTAAGAAATCGAAAATTTATCAAAATAATTTTCACCCCCTTTAGTGTCTAAGTAGTTTCTAAAATATGTCATACATATATATAGTTGTAAGTGTGTTTCCACCAAGAACCAAATAATGAGCACGTATATGTGAGTAAAAATTGCGTGTGGTAGCTATTATTGAAGGTGATATTTATTTTTTATCCAGCAATTTTAATGGTGAGCAAAAATAGCCACTACTCTATTAAAATTAATATGAAAAGATATTTTTACCCTTTCTTCCATTGCTTTTCTTCTCAAACTCTCGCTTCTCTCTGAACTCGGAACTCCGGTTGAGATGGCTTCGTCGTGGACAACAAAATTCGAAAGCTTTTTTCAAAGTTGAAACTCTGAGTTCTCAAGACAAGAAAATACACTTTTCTCTTCTTTTTTGTCATTGATAATTAGTTGTGCTCTTGAACTCAAACTTTACTGTATTGATTATCTTCAAGCTATTGTTTATATAAGCAAAATTCAGAGCTTGTGTGCGCATACACATAATTGTATTGGTGTCGAGTTTTAATTAACGGGGCACATTCTGTCATGTCCTTGATGAGAAGATTAGTTTTTATACGGGTACTAGAAAAAAAAGTTTGGTCCTGAACTTAGGCTAAGAAGCCCAAAAGTTAAGGACAATAGGTCTTGAACTTACAATTACAAGTTCAAAAGTTAAGGACAATAGGTTCTGAAGTCCTGAACTTAGACTAAGAAGCCCAAAAGTTAAGGACAATAGATCCTAAACTTAGACTAACAAGCTCAAAAGTTAAGGACACTTGGTCCTGAACTTACAGTTACAAGTTTAAAAAATCCTGAAGTTAAGTTCAAAAGTTAAGGACATGTAGTCCTGAAGTCCTGAAGTTAAGTTCAAAAGTTAAGGACATGTAGTCCTGAAGTTCTGAACTTAGAGTTCCAAGTTTAAAAGTTAAGGACATGTAGTCCTGAAGTCCTGAACTTAGAGTTACAAGTTCAAAAGTTAATGACATGTAGTTCTGAACTTAGAGTTCAAAAGTTAAGGATATGAGCAGAAGGGTATTTTCGTTCGGACAGTTAAAGTTTATTAAAACAGTGGCTAAAGACTAAAGATATTTTAAATAATAATTTAAAAGTAAATATATGTGTTATTAGTGACTAACCGTGCATTCCCGTGAAGTTGTCAACCCGTGCAACGTGCTTTAACATAAAAAAATAAATCATTCCAACTGGGTCCAATCTCTTCAAATGCTGCTATCCATTTATTTTATTTTTTCTTCTTTCTATAGACCACATAGTTAACTTTTATATACGGATAATATTAAAAAAAAAATACATTATTAGATTATCTAGAAAATAATTATAAATAATCGTCTATGAATAACAAAATTATCAACTAGCAAAATATGACCGATATATAAAAGCTATAACAGGTTAAATTATACTATTAATATAAACTTATTATACAATCGATATAAAATATATTATTGATTAAATTTTAATTTTTTTTTTTTGCGAGATCAAGTAGCTTTTGGTATTTGTATTTCTTGTAATTAAATGAACTACTGTCTTTGAAATTGACGAAGATTAAAAATAACAAAATCAATAATTTGACCCTGTAATTTATGTGTTTATTTAAATAGTTAGGCATAGAATTCCAGACTTTAGAAAGTCACTCTCGAACGTGCATAGGATACCTTTTGATGGAACCTTCAAGATGCCAACCTAACAGATCTATCTCTCTTTGTTTATTTAAATTTTTTTTATATAAAATTAGGCTAAGTGTTTTTCTTTGGGTTGGTTATTACCAAATATACACCCATCACCCCCTCCTATCTAAAGAATCTTTCCACGTGTAGTGTTTCCCCCAAAGTCTCAATGCCTAATCTTCAGCTTTCTTTCTTATCTGTTAGGAGTAGTGTTTATTATCTTTGGTAAGATAAAAAAGACATAGCCTGGTGAATAAGATATTTTGTGTCTACGTAAGGTTAAAGGAAGGTTTGTTTTTAAGGGGTATATAAATAGTTTATCATAATACAAATATTAGTGATTGTATCTATGACTTGAACCCGTAATATATAAATCATATATATGCAACTTTATCGTTCCACTAAGGTTTTCTTTTGTATCTATTATCTTCGCTTATATTGACAATTGCTCACAAAGTATCCCGATAGGAATTTACTCGAATTGATTTTATCCGATAGATATATGATATGTGTTAGACAATGTGTATTACTATAATAAAGAATGAAACAATAAATTTTTTGAAACAAAAAATATAAATAGAAAATTAGCAGCAACAAAATGTCGAAATAATGAAGCTGAATCTGAAAAAATAACTTTGGAATAAAATTGAGCTCTCTGAATACACAGTGTATCCTTAAGAAAATTATTCCCCTCAAACCCGAGGTGTTGGAATATTATTCTCCCATGATAGAACAGTCTAATTCACTAGTATATTGGTACCAAAAACTCTGATGAACTTCGAACCACTCAATAGTTGTAAAACACACTAGAAAATTTTGTGCAGAAGAAGAAGAAGAAGAAGATCAGAAAATTTTCGTAAGGAAAGATTCTGGGATCAATGCAAAATTATAGCCATTTCCTGGCACTGTTTCTGAAAGCTTAGCCCCGTTCATCTTCGGCACAAGAGCGCTTGATCAGTGAGCTACTACGCACTCTTTCAAGGGTGGCTGCTTCTAGAAAAACCTCCTGACTGATATTGAAGAATCAGCGGATGAGTTGTGGTTAGGGGTGAAATGCCACTCAAACCCAAAGCTAGCTAGGTAGCTGTTGAGAGGTTCCATATTGCCGAGACGAAGGACAACACTTATGTACGTGATTGTAGTATGTCACGTCGTCCCGTCCCCGCTGCATCGAAGAGTACCTACGCACTATGTTCTGGTTCACTGATAAGAAAGATAGCGTTGGGGTGGGGGTTTGCAACCTTTCAGTATCAGCCATGGCTGTTGGAATAGGTGGGAATGAGAAGAAATGGACCGGGTTGCGTCACGGGACCTGGTTATTCCGGGTTGGATTTTCATTAATTAATTAATTAAATAATTAAAAGAAATTTTGTCCAACAAGATTAATCAATCAATCGATCTTTGACCGAATCCGAATCCGAAGCCGAAGCAGAGCCGAGTGACCGACGACGACGACGGCGCGAGCCTTACTTTCTTTCCAACCCATTTAACACCAAGAGAAGTGCTTCCTCAATATAAGTACATTCATTTTTCTTTCCACCACCACTGAGGGACACTTGCTCTTTTCAAAGTAAAAGGGAGCTCACTTTCCCTCCATTTCCCATCACCAATCTTTAATCCCAACAATCTCCCACATGAATGAGGAATGGCTATAAGACAAAGGAATGCACAGACGAGTGTGTGATTTATATGCAAGGATTAATTGCATCTGGATAAGTAGGTTTCCCTTTGAACTTTTCATAGTGAACTTATATCGGATATACTCGATCAATCGGTAGATTTGATATCTTTGAACCGTCGAACTTTGTTGTATACCTAGACAACATAAGTTACATAACCAACTCTTAACCATCTATGGTTCTCACGGTTGTGTTCGTTTCAGCCGTGAGCACATCTTGGTTTCACGAGTGCTTAGAGAATGAGCTTTTACTTTCATTCCCCTTGAAGCGACTTATACTTCACGCTCCCATAGGTAATTTCTAAACATGTAATCCTATAGATACACTATATGGTCATTTCCTGCCAGACTTAGCAAATCATTAAAAAGCCTTAAGCTTTATTGACTCATCAAAAAACCTTAATGCTTTACCGTGATTTCTGAATATTGTCTTCATCACGACAATTAGTTGAGTTATTTGACAATATTGAACCGTCATTCATAACTTTTTTTGATCTCTTTGAACCTAGCTTTTGGGATCTCCAGTCTGCTAGGTAGAGTTACCGCTATGATAACTTGTCCTAGGCCTTAACCTCATTTCCTTCGATGATCTTTCAAGTGCCTCTCTAGATAGGTCTTTTATAAGTGGATCCGACATATTATCTCTTGATCTTACGTAGTCAATCATGATAACACCACTAGAGAGTAGTTGTCTAACTGTATTGTTTCTCCATCGTATATGACGAGGTTTTTCATTTTACATAAATCTCCCTGCCCTACTTATTGCCTCTTGACTATCATAATGTATACATATAGGTGCTAAATGTTTGGGCCAAAATGGAAAATATTTCATGAACTTCCAGAGCAATTCACTTCTTCATCGGCCTTGTCTAAAGCTATAAATTCAGATTCTATTATAGAACGGGCGATGCACGTTTGTTTGGATGATTTCCAAGACAGTGCTCCATGCGCAATTGTGAAAACACATCCACTCGTGGATTTAACTTCAGTTGATCTGGTAATCTAATTTGCATCAGGATATCCCTGGATCATGGAAGGATATTTGTTATAATGTAGAGCATAATCTTGGGTATGTTTTAAATACCCCAAAACTCGTTTCATTTCCATTTAATGTATTCGATTGGGATTACTTGTAAACCGATTCAGTTTGCTAATAACACATGCTATATCTCGTCGCATACAATTCATGATATACATCAAACTTCCCAATACTTTTGCATAGCCCAGTTGTGATTCACTTTCACCATCATGCTTTTGAAATGCATAACTTACATCAATTGGAGTCTTGGCAATCTTGAAATCTGAATACTTGAACTTGTCAAGTACTTTTCAATGTAGTGAGATTGTGACAATGCTGATTCCTTAGATCACATCAGCAATTCCTAAGTCTTTCATGTCGAATTTGCTAGCGAACATGCGCTTAGTAGCATTTATATCTGCCATATTTTTGCTCATTATCAACATGTCATCAACATATAAACAAACAATGACTTCATGACCCAGAGTGTTTTTAATGTAAACACATTTGTCATACTCGTTGATTTTAAACCCACTTGCCAATATTGTTTGGTCCAATTTGACATGCCATTATTTAGGTGCTTGTTTAAGTCCATAAAGCGATTTAACAAGTTTGCACACTTTCTTTTCTTTATCCGGAACCAAAAAACCCTCAGATTATTCCATGTAAATTTCTTCCTCCAATTCTCCATTTAAGAAAGTTGTTTTAACATTCATTTGATGGATTTCAAGACCATACACGGTCGCCAGTGCCACTAACACCCTAATAGATGTTATCCTCGTTACTGGCGAGTAAGTGTCAAAGTAATCAAGGCGTTTACTTTGTCTATAACCTTTGACAACAAGTCTTGCCTTATATTTGTCAATAGTGACATCATCTATCATTTTCCGTTTAAAGTTCCATTTCGAATATAAATGCTTATGTTCTGGAGAAAGATCAACCAATGCTCATGTATGGTTATCCAAAATTGATTGAATCTCACTATTGACTGCCTCTTTCCAAAATATTGAATCAGAAGATGACATAGTTGATTTGAAA